ACATGATATCAACATGCTAAGTGTTTTTAACATGCTTAGTAAATTATATCAACATACTAAGTGATATCAACATACTGAGTTAGTGATATCAACATGCTGAGTAAGTGATATCAACATACCGAGTGTTATCAACATGCTGAGTAAGTGATATCAACATTCGGAGTGTTATCAACATGCTAAGTAAGTGATATCAACATGACGAGTAAGTGATATCAATATAGTAAGTGTTATCAACATGCTGAGTAAATGATATCAACGTGCTGAGTAAGTGATATCAACCTACCAAGTGTTATCATCATGCTGAGTAAGTGATATCAACATGCTAAGTGTTATTAACATGCTGAGTAGGTGATGATATCAACATGCTGAGTAAGTGATATCAACATACTGAGTAAGTGATATCGACATACCGAGTGTTATCAACATGCTGAGTAAGTGATATCAACATGACAAGTAAGTGATATCAATATAGTAAGTGTTATCAACGTGCTGAGTAAGTGATATCAACCTACCAAGTGTTATCATCATGCTGAGTAAGTGATATCAACATGCTGAGTAAGTGATATCAACATACTAAGTATTATCAACATGCTGGGTAAATGATAACAGCCTGCTGAGGAAGTGATATCAACATACTAAGTGTTATCTACATGCTGAGTAAGTGATGATATCAACATGCTGAGTAAGTGATATTAACATGCTGAGTAAGTGATATCAATATACTAAGTATTATCAACATGCCAAGTAAATGATAACAGCCTGCTGAGGAAGTGATATCAACATACTAAGTGTTATCAACATGCTGAGTAAGCGATGATATCAACATGCTGAGTAAGTGATATCAACATGCTGTGTTAGTGATATCAAGATGCTGAGTAAATGATATCAACATGCTAAGTAAGTGATATCAACATACTAAGTGTTATCAACATGCTGAGTAAGTGTTATCAACATGCTGAGTAAATGATATCAGCCTGCTGAGAAAGTGATATCAACATACTAAGTGTTATCAACATGCTGAGTAAGTGACATCAACATGCTGAGTAAGTGATATCAACATACAAAGTGTTATCAACATGCTGAGTGAGTGATATCAACATACTGAGTGTTATCAACATGCTGAGTAAGTGATATCAACATGCTGAGTAAATGATATCAACATGCTGAGTAAGTGATATCAACATACTAAGTGTTATCAACATGCTGAGTAAGTGATATTAACATACTAAGTGTTATCAACATGCTGAGTAAGTGATATCAATATACTAAGTATTATCAACATGCCAAGTAAATGATAACAGCCTGCTGAGGAAGTGATACCAGCATTCTAAGTGTTATCAACATGCTGAGTAAGTGATGATATCAACATGCTGAGTAAGTGATATCAACATGCTGAGTAAGTGATATCAACATGATGAGTAAATGATATCAACATGCTGTGGAAGTGATATCAACATGCTGAGTAAGTGTTATCAACATGCTAAGTAAGTGATATCAACATACTAAGTGTTATCAACATGTTGAGTAAGAGTTATCAACATGCCGAGTAAATGATATCAGCCTGCTGAGAAAGTGATATCAACATACTGAGTGTTATCAACATGCTGAGTAAGTGATATCAACATGCTGAGTAAGTGATATCAACATACTAAGTGTTATCAACATGCTGAGTAAGTGATATCAACATGCTGAGTAAGTGATATCAACATACTAAGTGTTATCAACATGCTGAGTAAGTGTTATCAACATGCTGAGTAAATGATATCGGCCTGCTGAGAAAGTGATATCAACATACTGAGTGTTATCAACATGCTGAGTAAGTGATATCAACATACTAAGTGTTATCAACATGCTAAGTAAGTGATATCAACATACTAAGTGTTATCAACCTGCTGAGTAAGTGATATTAACATACTAAGTGTTATCAACCTGCTGAGTAAGGGATATCAACATGCTGAGTAAGTGATATCAACATACGAAGTGTTATCAACATGCTGAGTAAGTGATATCAACATACTAAGTGTTATCAACATGCTGAGTAAGTGATATCAACATGTTGAGTAAATGATATCAACATGCTGAGTAAGTGATATCAACATGCTGAGTAAGTGATATCAACATACTAAGTGTTATCAACATGCTGAGTAAGTGATATCAACATGCTGAGTAAATGATATCAACATGCTGAGTAAGTGATATCAACATGCTGAGTAAGTGATATCAACATACTAAGTGTTATCAACATGCTGAGTAAGTGATATCAACATGCTGAGTAAATGATATCAACATGCTGAGTAAGTGATATTAACATACTAAGTGTTATCAACCTGCTGAGTAAGTGATATCAACATGCTGAGTAAGTGTTATGAACATGCTGAGTAAGTGTTATCAACATGCTGAGTAAGTGATATCAACATACTAAGTGTTATCTACATGCTGAGTAAGAGTTATCAACATGCCGAGTAAATGATATCAGCCTGCTGAGAAAGTGATATCAACATACTGAGTGTTATCAACATGCTGAGTAAGTGATATCAACGTGCTGAGTAAGTGATATCAACATACTAAGTGTTATCAACATGCTGAGTAAGTGTTATCAACATGCTGAGTAAATGATATCAGCCTGCTGAGAAAGTGATATCAACATACTGAGTGTTATCAACATGCTGAGTAAGTGATATCAACATGCTGAGTAAGTGATATCAACATACTAAGTGTTATCAACATGCTGAGTAAGTGATATCAACATACTAAGTGTTATCAACATGCTGAGTAAGTGATATTAACATACTAAGTGTTATCAACCTGCTGAGTAAGTGATATCAACATGCTGAGTAAGTGATATTAACATACCGAGTGTTATCAACATGCTGAGTAAGTGATATCAACATGCTGAGTAAGTGATATCAACATACTAAGTGTTATCAACATGCTGAGTAAGTGATATCAACATACTAAGTGTTATCAACATGCTGAGTAAGTGATATTAACATACTAAGTGTTATCAACCTGCTGAGTAAGTGATATCAACATGCTGAGTAAGTGTTATCAACATGCTGAGTAAGTGTTATCAACATGCTGAGTAAGTGATATCAACATACTAAGTGTTATCTACATGCTGAGTAAGAGTTATCAACATGCCGAGTAAATGATATCAGCCTGCTGAGAAAGTGATATCAACATACTGAGTGTTATCAACATGCTGAGTAAGTGATATCAACATGCTGAGTAAGTGATATCAACATACTAAGTGTTATCAACATGCTGAGTAAGTGTTATCAACATGCTGAGTAAATGATATCAGCCTGCTGAGAAAGTGATATCAACATACTGAGTGTTATCAACATGCTGAGTAAGTGATATCAACATGCTGAGTAAGTGATATCAACATACTAAGTGTTATCAACATGCTGAGTAAGTGATATCAACATACTAAGTGTTATCAACATGCTGAGTAAGTGATATCAACATGCTGAGTAAGTGATATTAACATACCGAGTGTTATCAACATGCTGAGTAAGTGATATCAACATGCTAAGTAAGTGATATCAACATACTAAGTGTTATCAACCTGCTGAGTAAGTGATATCAACATACTAAGTGTTATCAACATGCTGAGTAAGTGATATCAACATGCTGAGTAAGTGATATCAACATACTAAGTGTTATCAACATGCTGAGTAAGTGATATTAACATACTAAGTGTTATCAACCTGCTGAGTAAGGGATATCAACATGCTGAGTAAGTGATATCAACATGCTGAGTAAGTTTTATCAACATGCTGAGTAAATGATATCAGCCTGCTGAGTAAGTGATATCAACATGCTGAGTAAGTTTTATCAACATGCTAAGTGTTATCAACATGCTGAGTAAATGATATCAGCCTGCTGAGGAAGTGTTATCAACATGCTGAGTAAATGATATCAACATGCTGAGTAAGTGATTTTCACATGCCGAGTAAGTGATATCAACATGCTGAGTAAGTGATATCAACATGCTGGGTACATGATATCAACATACTTAGTGTTATCAACATGCTCAGTAAATGATATCAATCTGCTGAGTAATTGATATCAACATGCTGAGTAAGTGATATCAACTTACTAAGTGATATCAACATGCTGAGTAAGTGATTTTCACATGCTGAGTAAGTGATCAACATACTAAGTGATATCAACGTGCTGAGTAAATGATATCAACATGCTGAGTAAGTGATATCAACATGCTGAGTAAGTGATATCGTTGTATGTTCAAACTATGTAAATTACAATCGGTGTATAATTTTATACAAATTAATTCAAGTCACAAATGGTCCCTGATTCAGCACATATCCGTTGTTGCATCATAGTTTGGGAATCAGTTGAAATGAGCATCACTGATGTGTAAGAAAATACATCTGTTGTAAGACGAGGAGCAGTTCAACCATGCATGAGTGAGGGAAAAACGTCCTGGAGTAGAAACATACACTAATGCAGCCAGCATGGTGAGGTGAGGTGGGGTGAGGTGAGGTGAGGTGAGGTGAGGTGAGGTGAGGTGAGGTGAGGTGGGGTGAGGTGAGGTGAGGTGAGGTGAGGTGCATGACTAAGGCAGACCTTCACTGTATAAGACAGGACTATTTTCACAAACAGAAGTATCCCTTTGCCCCACATCAGGTGTGAACGCATGCCAAGTAATCTGTTCTGTTCTTAGCGATCTTAGTGCTAAGATGACTGTGACTTACGGCAACACTAAGATAGCTTTGAGGAACAGGCTCCAGTCTACACAAACTGTACTCGGAAACCAACATGTTTTCACCCCGCTGAAGTGAGAATGTTTTTAATGCAGTCTCCTCTTGTGACAGTCAACAGAGATCGGGGGACGTATTCACATGTCTACTGGACAAACTGTACTGACAAAATCTTTCTAACTTTCATTGTCCCTCCTCAACACATGTCCCCCTCCCCTCCCCTCCCCTCCCCTCCCCTCCCCTCCCCTCCCCTCTCCTAACCCTGCTCCCCCATCTACCTAGGAGAGACAGGCTCATGGTGAGGCTTTCAACACTTGGATTATAATCAGCGGGACAAGTCACACAGTATAGTCTCCTGCTTCTTCTCATCTTCAGTAAGAGAACTGGATAAGGCACATTGCTGTTCACTGCTTGAGTAAGTTACAGATTCTACACCACTTCGCTCGTTGAGCAGGGTTGAAAAACAAATATTCCTGAGTGAGCTTAAATTTGGTTCTCAACAAAGTAGGTTGTTTTCCATTCCTCAAAGTTCAATAATTTATAAGAAAACTCAACGTCACACTGATAAAAGGCAACATTTTGAATATATTCATATGACTGATATTCGTAGATTATTCATGGACACTCAAATAGGGCAGCAGACAAAGGAAACCAAAAACATGAACAAACATCCCTGACACAGGAGTCCCAGCAAACCGGCACACACATAACACTCAACATATGGTGGGGATATTCCTCTGTGAGTACCGATGATGTGTGAGACAGTAACGAGGGAGGTGGGTGAGCAGGGTTTGACCATGCCGAGAATCAAACCCTGGTCTTCAGCTGGACTAGCCAACACCTTCACCACTTGGCCACCTCACGATCCTTATGCACATACACAGCCAGCTAGTGCATCACTGCAATAACATGCCATCATATGGATGGCAAGGATGATGAGTGATGATGATGATGCATCCTGACAGATGACAGCAGTCTCCTTGTTATCACAGAGGTTGACGAGTTGACCAGCAGCTGACCAGTAACCATCTGCTATCAAAGAGGGCTGTAAAAATAAAATGAGTATTACTACATTATCCCATTATCTGCCCTGGAATCCCTACAGGGAGACAAGCATGAGGTACTGGGGACCTATTCTGCCCTGGAATCCCTACAGGGAGACAAGCATCGGGTACTGGGGACCTATTCTGCCCTGGAATCCCTACAGGGAGACAAGCATGAGGTACTGGGGACCTATTCTGCCCTGGAATCCCCACAGGGAGACAAGCATGGGGTGCTGGGGACCTATTCCACCCTGGAATCCCTACAGGGAGACAAGCATGGGGTATTGGGGACCTATTCTGCCCTGGAATCCCTTTAGGGGACCTATTCTGCCCTGGAATCCCTATAGGGCGACAAGCATGGGGTGCTGGGGACCTAATCCACCCTGGAATCCCTACAGGGAGACAAGCATGAGGTACTGGGTACCTAATCCACCTTTGAATCCCAAAAGGGAGACAAGCATGGGATACTGGGGACCTAATCTACCCTGGAATGCCTATAGGGAGACAAGCATGGGGTACTGGATCCTAATCCACCCTGGAATCACAAAAGGGAAAAATATTTTTCATAGATTCTATCATATTCCTGCAGTACAAAACATTCTGACAAAACATGTGCCAATGTTGATTCTTCCAATCCTTAAAGCTTAACCTAAATCTATCTCACCCTTCTAAACGGAATGATTTCTCCCCATACACTCTCAACATGAACTTGGCTGAGCAGTTTGGCATGAACGTGGACGGGATGATGACGTAATGGCCGGGGTCCAGTTCAAATCTGCCGCTGACCTCCCGATAGTTGATGTACACGCCCGACTTGCCGCAGTCCGGGTGGTAGCGGAAGTGTTTGGCCGGAAGCTGATCCTGCTTGGCCTCCGTCTGGGGGAGAGATACACACAGTTGTTGTCTTTCTCAGTGTACCATGGCAGTATTTATATCATCTTGAACATCTGGCGACTGCACATTTATAGAATGTCCCCATTACAAATGTCCATTGTGATATGAACAAGTTGAGCAGAGAAGCCAAGAGGATCATTAATGGATGCTAGTCAGGCTACATGCAATGAAGGTTTCAGTGACAGTCCACAGTGATCACATCATGGTTGGATGGTTGGTTGTTGTTTAACGCAGCAATATTCCAGCTATATGACGGCGGTTTGTAAATTATCAAGTCTGGACCAAGAGATTCACAAGAGCAGAGGAGAGGAGAGGAGAGGAGATGATAGGAGAGGAGAGGGGAGCAGAGCTAGGAGAGTAGAGCAGGTGAGAGATGATGAGAGGAGAGGAGAGCGGAAGAGAGGAGAGGAGAGTGGAGGCGAGGAGAGCAGAGGGGAGCAGAGGAGAGCAGAGGGGAGGGGGAGAGGGGGGGGGGGGGGGGGAAGAGGTGGGGGAGGGGGGGAGGTGGCGGGGTGGAGGGGAGCAGAGGAGAGCAGAGGGGAGGGGGGGGGGAGGTGGCAGAGGGGAGGGGAGCAGAGGAGAGCAGAGGAGAGGGGAGCAGAGCTAGGAGAGTAGAGCAGGTAAGAGATGATGAGAGGAGAGGAGAGCGGAAGAGAGAGGAGAGTGGAGGCGAGGAGAGCAGAGGGGAGCAGAGGAGAGCAGAGGGGGGGAGCAGGAAGAACAAAGTACCCCCGTGGTGAAGCTTAAGCCATGAATGGGTTCACCTTGTACAGCATAAAGCCGATCTGCAGCCGCTTGTCCTTCACGCTGCAACTGGAGACCCTGTGTTCCTGCATCAGCGCGATAACGACGCTGCACTTGCCTTCACTCTCCGCATCGTCTGTGTCTTGGTTGAAGTCATCTTGGTCAAGCAGTGAAAAAACATCAAGTCAGGTGCAAGGAGGAGGTTGTTGCAAAACAATCAGTGGCTCACCAACATCAGGATGTACGATTGCACCTTTACCAAGGTGTACAATGGCACCTTTACCAAGGTGTACAATGGCTCCTTTAAAAGGGCGTACAGTAGCACCTTTACCAAGGTGTACAATGGCTCCTTTAAAAGGGCGTACAGTAGCACCTTTACCAAGGTGTACAATGGCTCCTTTACCAAGGTGTACAATGGCTCCTTTAAAAGGGCGTACAGTAGCACCTTTACCAAGGTGTACAATGGCTCCTTCATCAGGGCGTACAATGGCACCTTCATTAGGGCATAAAATGGCACCTTCATCAGGCCTACAATGGCACCTTCATCAGGGCATACAATGGCACCTTCATCAGGGCATACAATGTAACCTTTATCAGGGCATACAATGGCACCTTCACCAGGGTGTACAATGGCACCTTCATCAGGGCATACAATGGCACCTTCATCAGGGCATACAATGGCACCTTCATCAGGGCATACAATGGCACCTTAATAAGGGCTACAATGGCACCTTCATCAGGGCATACAATGGCACCTTCATCAGGGCATACAATGGCACCTTCATCAGGGCGTACAATGGCACCTTCATCAGGGCATACGGTAGCACCTTTATCAAGGCATACAATGGCACCTTTATTAGGGCATACAATGGCACCTTAATCAGGGCATACAATGGCACCTTCATCAGGGCATACAGTGGCACCTTTATCAGGGCGTACAGTGGCACCTTCATCAGGGCATACAATGTCACCTTCATCAGGGCGTACAATGGCACCTTCATCAGGGCATATGGTAGCACCTTTATCAGGGCATACAATGGCACCTTCATCAGGGCGTACAATGGCACCTTTATCAGGGCATACAATGGAACTTAATCAGGGCATACAATGGCACCTTTATCAGGGCATACAGTGGCACCTTCATCAGGGCGTACAATGGCACCTTCATCAGGGCGTACAATGGCACCTTCATCAGGGCATACAATGGCACCTTCATCAGGGTGTACAGTGGCACCTTCATCAGGGCATACAATGTCACCTTCATCAGGGCATACAATGGCACCTTCATCAGGGCATACAATGCCACCTTCATCAGGGCATGCAATGTCACCTTCATCAGGGCATACAATGTAACCTTTATCAGGGCAAAAAGCGGCACCTTTATCTGGGAGTACAATGGCATCTTCATCAGGGCATACAATGGCACCTTCATCAGGGCGTACAATGGCACCTTCATTAGGGCATACAATTGCACCTTTATCAGGGCATACAATGGCACCTTCATCAGGGAATACAATGGCACCTTCACCAGGGCATACAATGGCACCTTCATCAGGGCGTACAATGGCACCTTCATCAGGGCGTACAATGGCACCTTCATCAGGGCGTACAATGGCACCTTAATCAGGGCATACAGTAGCACCTTTATCAAGGCATACAATGGCACCTTTATCAGGGCGTACAATGGCACCTTTATTAGGGCATACAATGGCACCTTCATCAGGGCGTACAGTGGCACCTTCATCAGGGCATACAATGTCACCTTCATCAGGGCATACAATGGCACCTTCATCAGGGCATACAATGGCACCTTCATCAGGGCATGCAATGGCACCTTCATCAGGGCATACAATGTAACCTTTATCAGGGCATACAGCGGCACCTTTATCTGGGAGTACAATGGCACCTTCATCAGGGCATACAATGGCACCTTCATCAGGGCGTACAATGGCACCTTCATCAGGGCATACAATTGCACCTTTATCAGGGCATACAATGGCACCTTCATCAGGGTGTACAATGGCACCTTCATCAGGGCGTACAATGGCACCTTCATCAGGGCTTACAATGGCACCTTCATCAGGGCATACAATGGCACCTTCATGAGGGCATACAATGGCACCTACAGCAGGGCTTACATTACAATAGCTGGCATACCTGGTTTCATCCAAACAATTTTTGCCTAATTTTACAGTAAGGGACACAGTTTAATTCGGATACACCCAGACTGTTACCATGGTTACTTAGCAACACAAGACTACCTGGGTGTGTGAGAGTGAGGAGGTATTGCGGGTTGGTAGCAAACAGCTTGAGATCATTGCGGGATCCTCCGGCATTGACGCCTTCCTCCCAGCTGCCATCAAGTCTCACAAAGTGACCTGCAATCATAGACATTGAGACAATGAGGTCAAATCATATCCAGCTTTGTGATGTTCATGAAACAATGGGTAAAAAAGTATGTGGCTTTATGGCATTCATGGAACAAAAGGTATCTAGCTTAGTGGTGTTCATGAGACAATGTGTATTTTTACAGTTGTTCGGTTTGATGTGCACAGTATCTGTGACATATCAGTCCTATTTCCCTACCTGCACTGTCAGACACTCCATCCCCATCAAAGTCAGGACCAGTCAGGCAGATGGTGACTTCCTGGAAATGGCGACAAAAGTCCTTGAAGGACATCCAGAATTCTCCATCATCCCGGGACTCAAGGCCCAGACTGTCCTTGGTGTCATCGTCCACCCACTCCCAGTTGACATCGCTGCAAGAAAACAGGGAACGTACTTGCTAGGGAAACAGGGAAACAGAGAAACAGGGAAACAGAGAAACAGGGAAACAGGGAAACACAGAGTGTGCATCACAACCCGAGTGAGCAATATCATTGCACCCATGTCGGGAATCAAACCTGGGTCTTTGGCGTGACGAGTGAACGCTTTAACCACCCCTTATTTTTGTAGGAATTTATCCTGACCTATGTGACCCCATGCAACCCTGACAAAAACAAGTGCGACCTAATCTATGGGATGTATTTCACTGCTGTTTCAAATAAGGGGGGACAATGTAGCCAGATCTAATGATGTAGATAGAGTGATGCCCCCTACTTGTCACTCCACGAGCCTTTCCACTCCGTCGCGTCGCCCCATGGGTTCCTGATCCGCAGCAGCTTCTCCTCACCCATCTCGTGGTGGATCTGAAAACATTGTAACCATGGTAACAACACTTCACCTTGCTAACAACATGTCCTAAAGACATGTCAAAGCTTTACTGTAGTGGATGATGGCTGGCACCTGAAAGCCACCAGTCAGCAGATCAGTTGAGCTTTCAATCTGTTCCACCTTTGGCCGGAATCATTCAGCAGATGGTATCACGAATATCAGATATTAAACTGTGAAATTTTCTAATCATAAAATGAAATGAAATTAGTAAATAGCATAATCCAAATATTCCTCTTGACCATGTTGACATCAGGCATGTTCTTGTCCACAACAGACTCCACAAGGAGAAATCCCCTCCGTGAGATCCAACATATCTTGCTCACCTGGTCACCCACTGGAGGTCGGCCATGTGTTGACCTGCCTCCATGTTTCATAGTGTTCAAATATCATCCAAGAGCAAATAGTTTAGATCACTTTTACTTACATTGCATAAATGCACATTTTCAATCAATTTACCCTTTGTCACCAAAAAAGAAAAGAATAGAAACCTGAACATTGTGAGAATTTGAGAGTGAGTGAGTGAGCATGGCTACCCCACCGCCCCTGAGCGTGAGAATTCTTGAAAGCCATGTGACATTCCTGTTCCAATCATTGTCCAATCCTACCTTTCTGATTCCTGTGATAGTGTATGCATGACCGGAGACGAGGCCATTAGCATCGGCGTTGTTCCCGCTCTTCCAGTCCCCCTGCAAACAAGTAAACGAACCAGTCAGCTGACACTAGTCTCCATGGTAACCAGTAGACAAACCAGTCACCTGACACCTGTCTCCAAGGCAACAGGTGAACACACCAGTCAGCTGACGGTCTTAATGTCCACCAATCTCAGTTGACAAGACACCTGTGGCTGCCTACCAGACCAGGCATAATGTGACTCAACAATTTTCGCAATGGAGGCTGCAAAACAGACATCAACAAGTGTTCTAGAAGCCCAGCATGAGTGTTCTAGAAGCCCAGCATGAGTGTTCTAGAAGCCCAGTGTGAGTGTTCTAGAAGCCCTGTGTGAGTGTTCTAGAAGACCAGCATGAGTGTTCTAGAAGCCCTCTGTGAGAGTTCCAGAATCCCAGCATGAGTGTTCTAGAAGCCCAGCATGTGTGTTCTAGAACCCCTGTGTGAGTGTTCTAGAAACCCAGTGTGAGTGTTCTAGAAGACCAGCATGAGTGTTCTAGAAGCCCAGTGTGAGTGTTCTAGAAGCCCAGCGTGAGTGTTCTAGAAACCCAGCATGAGTGTTCTAGAAGCCCAGTGTGAGTGTTCTAGAAGCCCAGTGTGAGTGTTCTAGAAGCCCAGTGTGAGTGTTCTAGAAGCCCAGCGTGAGTGTTCTAGAAACCCAGCATGAGTGTTCTAGAAGCCCAGTGTGAGAGTTCCTGAAGCCCAGTGTGAGTGTTCTAGAACCCCAGTGTGAGTGTTCTAGAAGCCCAGTGTGAGTGTTCCAGAAGCCCAGCATGAGTGTTCTAGAAACCCAGTGTGAGTGTTCTAGAAGACCAGCATGAGTGTTCTAGAAGCCCAGCATGAGTGTTCTAGAAGCCCAGTGTGTGTGTGTGTGTTCTAGAAGCCCAGTGTGAGTGTTCTAGAAGACTAGCATGAGTGTTCTAGAAGACCAGCATGTGTGTTCTAGAAGCCCAGTGTGAGTGTTCCAGAAGACCTGTGTGACTGTTCCAGAAGCCCATCATGTGCGTTCTAGAAGCCCAGCATGTGTGTTCTAGAAGCCCTGTGTGAATGTTCCAGAAGCCCAGTGTGAGTGTTCCAGAAGCCCAGTGTGAGTGTTCTAGAAGCCCAGTGTGAGTGTTCTAGAAGCCCAGTGTGAGTGTTCCAGAAGCCCAGGATGAGTGTTCTAGAAGCCCAGCATGTGCGTTCTAGAGGCCCTGTGTGAGTGTTCTAGAAGACCAGCATGAGTGTTCTAGAAGCCCAGTGTGAGTGTTCTAGAAGACCAGCATGAGTGTTCTAGAAGCCCAGTGTGAGTGTTCTAGAAGCCCTGAGTGAGAGTTCCAGAAGCCCAGGATGAGTGTTCTAGAAGCCCAGCATGTGTGTTCTAGAGGCCCTGTGTGAGTGTTCTGGAAGACCAGCATGAGTGTTCTAGAAGCCCAGCATGTGTGTTCTAGAAACCCAGTGTGAGTGTTCTAGAAGACCAGCATGAGTGTTCTAGAAGACCAGCATAAATGTTCTAGAAGCCCAGTTTGAGTGTTCTAGAAGACCAGCATGAGTGTTCTAGAAGCCCAGTGTGCATGTTCTAGAAGCCCAGTGTGAGTGTTCTAGAAGCCCAATGTGAGTGTTCTAGAAGCCCAATGTGAGTGTTCTAGAAGACCAGCATGAGTGTTCTAGAAGAATAGCATGAGTGTTCTAGAAGCCCAGTGTGAGTGTTCTAGAAGACCAGCATGAGTGTTCTAGAAGCCCAGTGTGAGTGTTCTAGAAGCCCTGAGTGAGAGTTCCAGAAGCCCAGGATGAGTGTTCTAGAAGCCCAGCATGTGTGTTCTAGAGGCCCTGTGTGAGTGTTCTGGAAGACCAGCATGAGTGTTCTAGAAGCCCAGCATGTGTGTTCTAGAACCCCTGTGTGAGTGTTCTAGAAACCCAGTGTGAGTGTTCTAGAAGACCAGCATGAGTGTTCTAGAAGACCAGCATAAATGTTCTAGAAGCCCAGTGTGAGTGTTCTAGAAGACCAGCATGAGTGTTCTAGAAGCCCAGTGTGAGTGTTCTAGAAGCCCAATGTGAGTGTTCTAGAAGACCAGTGTGAGTGTTCTAGAAGCCCAATGTGAGTGTTCTAGAAGCCCAGTGTGAGTGTTCCAGAAGCCCAGTGTGCGTGTTCTAGAAGCCCAGTGTGAGTGTTCTAGAAGCCCAATGTGAGTGTTCTAGAAGACCAGCATGAGTGTTCTAGAAGACCAGCATGAGTGTTCTAGAAGCCCAGTGTGAGTGTTCTAGAAGCCCAGCATGAGTGTTCTAGAAGCCCAGTGTGAGTGTTCTAGAAGCCCAGTGTGTGTGTTCTAGAAGCCCAGTGTGAGTGTTCTAGAAGCCCAATGTGAGTGTTCTAGAAGACCAGCATGAGTGTTCTAGAAGCCCAGCATGAGTGTTCTAGAAGCCCAGTGTGAGTGTTCTAGAAGACCAGCATGAGTGTTCTAGAAGCCCAGTGTGAGTGTTCTAGAAGCCCTGTGTGAGTGTTCCAGAAGCCCAGTGTGAGTGTTCTAGAAGCCCAGTGTGAGTGTTCTAGAAGCCCAGTGTGAGTGTTCTAGAAGCCCTGTGTGAGTGTTCCAGAAGCCCAGTGTGAGTGTTCTAGAAGCCCAGTGTGAGTGTTCTAGAAGACCAGCATGAGTGTTCTAGAAGCCCAGTGTGAGTGTTCTAGAAGCCCAGTGTGAGTGTTCTAGAAGCCCAGTGTGAGTGTTCTAGAAGCCCTGTGTGAGTGTTCCAGAAGCCCAGTGTGAGTGTTCTAGAAGCCCAGTGTGAGTGTTCTAGAAGCCCAGTGTGAGTGTTCTAGAAGCCCTGTGTGAGTGTTCCAGAAGCCCAGTGTGAGTGTTCTAGAAGCCCAGTGTGAGTGTTCTAGAAGACCAGCATGAGTGTTCTAGAGGCCCTGTGTGAGTGTTCTAGAAGCCCAGTGTGAGTGTTCCAGAAGCCTAGTGTGAGTGTTCTAGAAGCCCAGCATGAGTGTTCTAGAAGCCCAGTGTGAGTGTTCTAGAAGCCCAGTGTGAGTGTTCCAGAAGCCCAGTGTGAGTGTTCTAGAAGCCCTGTGTGAGTGTTCTAGAAGCCCAGTGTGAGTGTTCTAGAAGCCCTGTGTGCATGTTCTAGAAGCCCAACGTGAGTGTTCTAGAAGCCCTGTGTGAGTGTTCTAGAAGACCAGCATGAGTGCTCAAGAAGCTCAGTGTGAGTGTTTTAGAAGCCCAACATGTGTGTTCTAGAACCCCTGTGTGAGTGTTCTAGAAACCCAGTGTGAGTGTTCTAGAAGACCAGCATAAATGTTCTAGAAGCCCAGTGTGAGTGTTCTAGAAGACCAGCATGAGTGTTCTAGAAGACCAGTGTGAGTGTTCTAGAAGCCCAATGTGAGTGTTCTAGAAGCCCAATGTGAGTGTTTTAGAAGCCCAGCATGAGTGTTCTAGAAGACCAGCATGAGTGTTCTAGAAGCCCAGTGTGCGTGTTCTAGAAGACCAGCATGAGTGTTCTAGAAGCCCAGTGTGAGTGTTCTAGAAGCCCTGTGTGAGTGTTCCAGAAGCCCAGTGTGAGTGTTCTAGAAGCCCTGTGTGAGTGTTCTAGAAACCCAGTGTGAGTGTTCTAGAAGACCAGCATAAATGTTCTAGAAGCCCAGTGTGAGTGTTCTAGAAGACCAGCATGAGTGTTCTAGAAGCCCAGTGTGAGTGTTCTAGAAGCCCAATGTGAGTGTTCTAGAAGCCCTGTGTGAGTGTTCTAGAAACCCAGTGTGAGTGTTCTAGAAGACCAGCATAAATGTTCTAGAAGCCCAGTGTGAGTGTTCTAGAAGACCAGCATGAGTGTTCTAGAAGCCCAGTGTGAGTGTTCTAGAAGCCCAATGTGAGTGTTCTAGAAGCCCAATGTGAGTGTTTTAGAAGCCCAGCATGAGTGTTCCAGAAGCCCAGTGTGAGTGTTCTAGAAGCCCTGTGTGAGTGTTCTAGAAGACCAGCATGAGTGTTCTAGAAGCCCAGTGTGAGTGTTCTAGAAGCCCTGTGTGAGTGTTCCAGAAGCCCAGTGTGAGTGTTCTAGAAGCCCTGTGTGAGTGTTCCAGAAGCCCAGTGTGAGTGTTCTAGAAGCCCAGTGTGAGTGTTCTAGAAGACCAGCATGAGTGTTCTAGAGGCCCTGTGTGAGTGTTCCAGAAGCCTAGTGTGCATGTTCTAGAAGCCCAGTGTGAGTGTTCCAGAAGCCCAATGTGAGTGTTCTAGAAGCCCTGTGTGAGTGTTCCAGAAGACCAGCATGAGTGCTCAAGAAGCCCAGTGTGAGTGTTTTAGAAGCCCAATGTGAGTGTTTTAGAAGACCAGCATGTGTGGTCAAGAAGCCCTGTGTGAGTGTTCCAGAAGCCCTGTGTGAGTGTTCTAGAAGCAGTCCGTCCCCACTGTCCTCACGTGACTCACACAGATGGTACAATGACCAACCTTCAGGTCTATGATCGGCCAGGCACAGTCCGTCCCCACTGTCCTCACTTGACTCACACCGATGGTACAATGACCAACCTTCAGGTCAATGATCGGCCAGGCACAGTCCATCCCCACTGCCCTCACTTGACTCACACAGATGGTACAATGACCAACCTTCAGGTCAATGATCGGCCAGGCACAGTCCGTCCCCACTGTCCTCACTTGACTCACACAGATGGTACAATGACCAACCTTCAGGTCAATGATCGGCCAGGCACAGTCCGTCCCCACTGTCCTCACTTGACTCACACAAATGGTACAATGACCAACCTTCAGGTCTATGATCGGCCAGGCACAGTCCGTCCCCACTGTCCTCACTTGACTCACACAGATGGTACAATGACCAACCTTCAGGTCAATGATCGGCCAGGCACAGTCCGTCCCCACTGTCCTCACTTGACTCACACAGATGGTACAATGACCAACCTTCAGGTCAATGATCGGCCAGGCACAGTCCATCCCCACTATCTTCACTTGACTCACACAGATGGTACAATGACCAACCTTCAGGTCAATGATCGGCCAGGCACAGTCTGTCCCCACTGTCCTCACTTGACTCACACAGATTGTACAATGACCAACCTTCAGGTCAATGATCGGCCAGGCACAGTCCATCCCCACTATCCTCACGTGACTCACACAGATGGTACAATGACCAACCTTCAGGTCAATGATTGGCCAGGCACAGTCCATCCCCACTGTCCTCACTTGACTCACACAGATGGTACAATGACCAACCTTCAGGTCAATGATCGGCCAGGCACAGTCCATCCCCACTGTCCTCACTTGACTCACACAGATTGTACAATGACCAACCTTCAGGTCAATGATCGGCCAGGCACAGTCCATCCCCACTATCCTCACTTGACTCACACAGATGGTACAATGACCAACCTTCAGGTCAATGATCGGCCAGGCAAAGTCCGTCCCCACTGTCCTAACTTGACTCACACAGATGGTACAATGACCAACCTTCAGGTCAATGATCGGCCAGGCACAGTCCATCCCCACTGTCCTCACTTGACTCACACAGATGGTACAGGTTCTACTACACCAAACCAGAACCAGTTTGGACAGTGCGGTTTTCGTAGGGAGCCTTCAGTGTAGATCGAGAGATATCTGCAGGCTGTGATTGGAGCATATTCTGTAAGATTTTTATGTCTTTCAAATGTACATCCATCCGGTTATTAAAACTGACCATGTTTTTCTATATTTAGTACTGTCTTTTTCAACATGATGACTTATGCTGAATGTGACCACAGCTATTTTCAAGTAGGTGACATTTGGTGCGAAACTGGGGGTGGTGTGTTTAGCTTCCGGTACTCGGAAAAGGAGCTGACTAAGCTAGTCATTTTTATTTTTTTTATTGCTGCTCTAAGGCCAAACTGTGCACACACATACAGGTAATAGCTGTTGAATGCTTAGTTATTTAAAAAAAAATCATAACGTTACTATAGAAGTCTATGGGAAAACATTTGGTTGTGTGTAACCTGTAGGGTGAGTGCACATTTCAGTAATTCATACTTTACATGCTTTTCTGTTTATATTTCACCATGGATACACCATGGAGGCAAATTTAAAAATAATGACAGTGAAGTTGGGGACATTTTGGGTTGAATGGAGCATTTGGATGGCCTGGAAATGAATGTTGCTTCGTATTGTGGTCGAACTCAGCACGAACCCCCCAGGGTACCACTGTCCATCAAGCCCTCCTCCTGCCTTCTGAATTTGTTGAAACTGATGAATTTGACAACAAATTAGGATAAAGTCACCACTGCCACAACAATTTCTGCCTTATGTCAATCGCTTGCCAGTCAAGTTACGCGATGCCGTTATCTTGAGTATGAAGCATGTACACTGCTGACAGCAGAATATGTCACACATCCTCTTATTTACAGTAAACAATGTAGCATACCAATATATCTTTCTGTTAGGTGCTCTTGTGTGAATGAATGATGCTATTTTTCTATTAAATTTCTTAAAACAGACTTATTTTTCACTTATATGACTTTCAGATAATTATTTTGTCCCCTCAAGAACTGACTCCTGGCTGTTATATCCAAACTGGTTTGCCATTTGATATTGTCTGAACCCTTTTTTCAGCTTTTCGCATGCCTGATGTTGACTGGGGAGGTATATGTGCACTCATGCAGAAGAAGTAGGAGTTTCGACATCGAATTTGGCATTTGGAGAAGCTGATCCGAAGTCCGGTGTTGGCAGTGTGTGATCGACAACCCTTGTTTTGCCTCGCTGCGCTCTATTACCTTGTAGAAGTTGTGGAACTTGGACATGTAGGTACATTAAGTACATTTAAGAACCCCAGTCCACTTGAGGTTCCTCTGTTGCTCACTATCAAGTGCCATAATAAGATCACCCTCATGCACTAGACATTTCTAACAGTGCTCCCTTAATGCCCCACTGTGCAGTTTTTCAGTTTGCAAACATGAAATAAGGGCTATACACCAGTCCCAGAACCTGCTTAGATGAAAATAATATCCACTGGCTCTTTTGGAATGTAACATTATGGTTCTGAAATCATCTGTAGAGAATGTGATAGTGTTCGACAATACTGAATTATCTCCCCTGTTTAGTAAAATGCATTGTATCTTTCATTCTCCTATAAACCCATAAATTATTGGAGAGAAACACTATTTTAAGCTGGCATTGCATGACACTGTTAATTGTGAATAAAAAGAATTACATTTATGTCAGGATAAGCTGTACATTTTCAAAATTATATGGAATTTTAACTTTGTTTCATTGAAACTGGCAAATAACTGAAATAAGCAAGTTTAGCCACCTTGAAACATTAAACAGTAAGGATGTTTGATGTCCTGTGAGTATTTTAAAGTCTTAACTAAATAAATCAATAGAGTTAAGTGTCATTTCCTTCCATGTTGTGGTTTCAAAGAGCTTTCTTCTACTTGAGGGTCCATTTCTATTTCTCGGCTTTAATAGGCGGTATGGTTCACTGGTCAGCATTTGAGATTGCTGGCAACAATGCACCCTTTTACTTCCTATTTTCTGGTAAAGCTCATTATCCAGCCTTACATATATGATGACTTTAAAGCTGCTTAATGTGTCCCTTGCTTATTGTTGGCCTGAATTCCATGCTCTCTGTCCAATTTTGAGATTTTTTTCTGATTCCTTTCCATGTGTACTTATGTCACCAGCCTATATCATAGGTGATTATACTTTTGATTTTTGAAGTATATGAAAGCACAAACATTTGTGATAGCCCCTCCATAGATGATTTACCAAATGCTGACAGCCATTTGAGTGTTTAATTATATAAACAATGGATGGTGTAAGTTCGAGCAATCTCAAACAATATCAATCGCATCATGTCATGAGTGTCAAAACCATATTCCATGAATGTAGCAGACTCTGCTATGTTCTGATGATGTCAGCAAAGTAAGGCAAACAACAGACCACTTCTCAATTCTAAATATGTATTGTAACTGGTTTTGAGGTTTAAAGATTTGTTCAATTTTTTTAGTCGAAAAAATATTTTAGGGTGTTATGATCTATGCAGCCTCAATCATTTATAGAATTGACCCTTGACCCCCTTCTTTTATGAAATATAAATTAACTCCCATGGTCAGTGCATGAAGGTAGAAACTTCTTTATTAATACAGAAATACCTTTTGTAAAACATTGATGAAGTGTACATCCTTAAACTCTCACAACTCTTTCTGTGCATCAAAACTATGTATTCTGGTGCCATATAGACATGCTGGATAGGAACAAGTAGTGAAGTTTAATCCAATTTCCATTTTTTTTCTGAGAAGCTACATATATATACAATACATAAATCACAGATTTGACAAGTGCAAATATATTCTGATTTGTCTACAGGTTCTACTACACCAAATCAGAACCAGTTTGGACAGTGCGGTTTTCGTAGGGAGCCTTCAGTGTAGATCGAGAGATATCTGCAGGCTGTGATTGGAGCATATTCTGTAAGATTTTTATGTCTTTCAAATGTACATCCATCCGGTTATTAAAACTGACCATGTTTTTCTATATTTAGTACTGTCTTTTTCAACATGATGACTTATGCTGAATGTGACCACAGCTATTTTCAAGTAGGTGACATTTGGTGCGAAACTGGGGGTGGTGTGTTTAGCTTCCGGTACTCGGAAAAGGAGCTGACTAAGCTAGTCATTTTTATTTTTTTTATTGCTGCTCTAAGGCCAAACTGTGCACACACATACAGGTAATAGCTGTTGAATGCTTAGTTATTTAAAAAAAAATCATAACGTTACTATAGAAGTCTATGGGAAAACATTTGGTTGTGTGTAACCTACAATGACCAACCTTCAGGTCAATAATCGACCAGGCACAGTCCATCTCCACTGCCCTCACTTGACTCACACAGATGGTACAATGACCAACCTTCAGGTCAATGATCGGCCAGGCACAGTCCGTCCCCACTGTCCTCACTTGACTCACACAGATGGTACAATGACCAACCTTCAGGTCTATGATCGGCCAGGCACAGTCCGTCCCCACTGTCCTCACTTGACTCACACAGATGGTACAATGACCAACCTTCAGGTCAATGATCGGCCAGGCACAGTCCGTCCCCACTGTCCTCACTTGACTCACAAAGATGGTACAATGACCAACCTTCAGGTCAATGATCGGCCAGGCACAGTCCATCCCCACTGTCCTCACTTGACTCACACAGATGGTACAATGACCAACCTTCAGGTCAATAATCGGCCAGGCACAGTCCGTCCCCACTGTCCTCACTTGACTCACACAGACACCGGATACCTCTTGTTTCTTGAACTCCGAGAGGTGTCCAACACAACATGTTCAGGAAGCAGGAAGCTACTTCCCATCTGTCTGACTCACAACGTTGGTTTCAGATTCTACATTTCTACCCATGCTACAGCAGCGAGGAAACCCCAACTTAGGGGAAACACAGTTTCTTTGCCATGGTCATGGATACTTTGACAACAACTTGCCTTATTGAACACACATTTTGTTTGTTTGTTTGTGTGTTTGTTGTTAAACGACACACTTAGCAATATTCCAGCTATATGACAACAGTCTGTAATAATCGAGTCTGGATCAGACAATCCAGTGATTGACATCACTAGATGAACGCAATTGAGATACATGCATTAACCAAGTCGGCAAACCTGACCTACCCGATCCCGTTAGTCGCCTCTTACTACAAGCATAGTAGCCATTTACGGCAAGCATAGGTTGCTGAAGACCTATTCTACCCCATACAATACGATCCTACCTTCTTGGAGCAGGCAATGAAGGCGCCGGTCTTGTGCGCCCGGAGGATCTGCCTGAACATGTTGGGGTTGTAGTCCTCGAGTTCGTACCGTTCCGCTAGCCCGCCTGTCAGGTCCACCAGGGCATCCATCGTCTGACCTCCCTCCAGGGCCTCGTAGGACCCATGCACCCTGCAACCACAACAAACGTATAGTCAACGAAGTCATCTATATCCCCCGCCCATTTTAACATGTGACGGTCCCAAACCAGGTAACTGACCCAACACAATCCAAACACAGGCCATCTACTAGAGGCAGTACCAAACACAATCCAAACACAGGCCATCTACTAGAGGCAGTACCCAACACAATCCAAACACAGGCCATCTACTAGAGGCAGTACCAAACACAATCCAAACACAGGCCATCTACTAGAGGCAGTACCAAACACAATCCAAACACAGGCCATCTACTAGATGCAGTACCAAACACAATCCAAACACAGGCCATCTACTAGAGGTAGTACCAAACACAATCCAAACACAGGCCATCTACTAGATGCAGTATCCAACACAATCCAAACACAGGCCATCTACTAGAGGCAGTACCCTACACAATCCAAAGACAGGACATCTACTAGAGGCAGTACCCTACACAAATCCAAACACAGGCCATCTTCTAGAGGCAGTACCCTACACAATCCAAACACATGCCATCTTCTAGAGGCAGTACCCAACACAATCCAAACACAGGCCATCTACAAGAGGCAGTACCCAACACAATCCAAACACAGGACATCTACTAGATGCAGTACCCTACACAATCCAAACACAGGCCATCTACAAGAGGCAGTACCCAACACAATCCAAACACAGGACATCTTTAAAATCAGAATGCTGCTCACACAAAGTGAAGAAGTTGACGTCACTATCCATTCCTTAGTTATGCTACTCAACATATGATAAGGATGTACTGAGTTTTCCCTTGGGTGTGTGGAAGATGTTAACAAAACAAGAAAACAGTGTTATCACTACCCCCCGCCAAAAGGCTCATTAGAAGTTTGATTGTTCATATAGTAGTGAACTAAAACTATAAAAAAAGAGCCCCATAAAGCCTGATGAAGAGATAGGCACTAGGGCCGCTATTTGTCTATAAAAAAAATGATTAAATGTAAAATTAATACACACAAAAGGCCCTTTCTCTGCAAAAAATAACTCAGTCTAAATAAGTATCTCTTAGATCAGCTTCAGTTGTTTCTGCACAAATAATCGGGTATACCATGAGTCACATGGTTTTACGTAGGACATCATTACAAGAATGACTGGGTAGCTTTGAATAGAGATATATTCGGCCTACGATTTATAACCAATCCGGAAAGGTCTACGGCCAATCAGTTCTACAAGACAGACCACAACACTATCTCCGACATACAGTAGGGTGAGCAAGCTAGGCATCTCTTTTAATGCTTCGTAAAAGCTATCAATCACACTTTCAGGATTGAAGCATGTTAAGACGAGAAGAGGAACCATCCTCAATAAGAGGATCTTCAAGACATCACATGCACAAGGCAGAGGTGAGCAGGTAAGTGCTCAGGACACCACTGAAACGGCAGTGCCTTGTAGCAGCTGCTTGACCAGCTTGGCAATACAGGTAAAAAGCCATGGGGCCAAAGAATTTCAAAAGGTGGGCACCTTCCATTGGCAGTGTCTTGTAGGTCGAGATTGCCAATGTGGTCTCCCGGCCGGGTGATCATTTGTAGTAGTGCCATCGTTGTCATGCAAAAATGTGGCGGATCTTCAAGATACAATGTGTTGAACATCTTCATACTGAAGACCATCTGGCGCTTGACGCTGTCTTTCCTCAAGATCAGGAAACAAGGGACCTCAGGACAGTTGACCTTAGGACAGGGGACCTCAAGACAAGGGATCTCAGGACAAGGGACCTCAGGACAAGGACAATCAGGACAAGGGACCTCAGGACAAGGACAATCAGGACAAGGGACCTCAGGACAAGGGACCTCAAGACAAGGGATCTCAGGACAAGGGACCTCAGGACAAGGACAATCAGGACAAGGGACCTCAGGACAAGGGACCTCAAGACAAGGGATCTCAGGACAAGGGATCTCAGGACAATGTGACCTCAGGACAATGTGACCTCAGGACAAGGGACCTCAGGACAAGGGACCTCAGGACAAGGACAATCAGGACAAGGGACCTCAGGACAAGGGACCTCAGGACAAGGGACCTCAGGACAAGGGACCTCAGGACAAGGGACCTCAGGACAAGGACAATCAGGACAAGGGACCTCAGGACAAGGGACCTCAGGACAATGTGACCTCAGGACAATGTGACCTCAGGACAAGGGACCTCAGGACAAGGACAATCAGGACAGGAGACCTCAGGACAAGGGATCTCAGGACAAGGGATCTCAGGACAATGTGACCTCAGGACAAGGGATCTCAGAACAATGTGACCTCAGGACAAGGACAATCAGGACAAGGGATCTCAGGACATTGGACCTCAGGACAAGGGATCTCAGGACAAGGGATCTCAGGACAAAGGACCCCAAGACAAGGGTCCTCAAGACAAGGGTCCTCAAGACAAGGGTCCTCAAGACAAGTGACCTCAAGACAAGTGACCTCAAGACAAGGGACCTCAAGACAAGGGTCCTCACGACAAGGGACCCAAAGACAAGGGACCTCAAGACAAGGGACCTCAAGACAAAGGACCTCAAGACAAGGGTCCTCAAGACAAGGGTCCTCAAGACAAGGGTCCTCAAGACAAAGGATCTCAGGACAAGGGACCTCAAGACAAGGGACCTCAAGACAAGGGTCCTCAAGACAAAGGACCTCAAGACAAGGGTCCTCAAGACAAGGGTCCTCAAGACAAGGGTCCTCAAGACAAGTGACCTCAAGACAAGGGACCGCACAAGACAAGGGACCTCAAGACAAGGGACCTCAAGACAAGGGACCTCAAGACAAGGGACATGAAGACAAGGGTCCTCAAGACAAGGGTCCTCAAGACAAGGGACCGCAAGACAAGTGACCTCAAGACAAGGGACCTCAAGACAAGGGACCTCAAGACAAGGGTCCTCAAGACTAGGGTCCTCAAGACAAGGGTCCTCAAGACAAGGGTCCTCAAGACAAGGGACCTCAAGACTAGGGTCCTCAAGACAAGGGTGCTCAAGACAAGGGTGCTCAAGACAAGGGTGCTCAAGACTAGGGTCCTCAAGACAAGGGTCCTCAAGACAAGGGACCTCAAGACTAGGGTCCTCAAGACAAGGGACTTATTCACATAACAATCAACTTACTTTGCATATGCTTTTTCAATGAGAGCTACCCAGAATTCTCTCTGTTCAGTGCAGTGAGCATATATAAGCTTTCCGTTTTGCACCGGCAGTCGATCGTCAATGTAGACTTGTATCCATTTGCCGTAACGCCAGAACTGGAAACACACAATGCCCTTGTACTCCTCTCCACACAGAGGCTGATTTCTCTCTGGCATTATCTGCAAATCAACATGAAGAATTGTCTTTGATCCTGAAAAGTCTTCAAAACAGCTGTAAACCCATCCATAGTTTTATTAATTAGGCCTAATAAGTGTTGTGTGTGTGAAACAAACCTACCTTACATTACATGATATACGGTACTGACCCTTTCTTTGTACATGTCTTACCTACTCTTCATGCAATGACACAACCTACCGGAGGTTACATGATATACGGTACTGACCCTTTCTTTGTACATGTCTTGCCTACTCTTCATGGGTCCGATGACACAACCTACCTTACATTACATGATATACGGTACTGACCCTTTCTTTGTACATGTCTTACCTACTCTTCATGGGTCCGATGACACAACCTACCTTACGTTACATGATATACGGTACTGACCCTTTCTTTGTACATGTCTTGCCTACTCTTCATGGGTCCGATGACACAACCTACCTTACATTACATGATATACGGTACTGACCCTTTCTTTGTACATGTCTTACCTACTCTTCATGGGTCCGATGACACAACCTACCGGAGGCTACATGATATACGGTACTGACCCTTTCTTTGTACATGGCTTACCTACTCTTCATGGGTCCGATGACACAACCTACCTTACGTTACATGATATACGGTACTGACCCTTTCTTTGTACATGTCTTACCTACTCTTCATGGGTCCGATAACACAACCTACCTTACGTTACATGATATACGGTACTGACCCTTTCTTTGTACATGTCTTACCTACTCTTCATGGGTCCGATGACACAACCTACCTTACGTTACATGATATACGGTACTGACCCTTTCTTTGTACATGTCTTACCTACTCTTCATGGGTCCGATGACACAACCTACCTTACGTTACATGATATACGGTACTGACCCTTTCTTTGTACATGTCTTACCTACTCTTCATGGGTCCGATGACACAACCTACCGGAGGCTACATGATATACGGTACTGACCCTTTCTTTGTACATGTCTTGCCTACTCTTCATGGGTCCGATGACACAACCTACCTTACGTTACATGATATACGGTACTGACCCTTTCTTTGTACATGTCTTGCCTACTCTTCATGGGTCCGATGACACAACCTACCTTACGTTACATGATATACGGTACTGACCCTTTCTTTGTACATGTCTTACCTACTCTTCATGCAATGACACAACCTACCTTACGTTACATGATATACGGTACTGACCCTTTCTTTGTACATGTCTTACCTACTCTTCATGGGTCCGATGACACAACCTACCGGAGGTTACATGATATACGGTACTGACCCTTTCTTTGTACATGTCTTGCCTACTCTTCATGGGTCTGATGACACAACCTACCTTACGTTACATGATATACGGTACTGACCCTTTCTTTGTACATGTCTTACCTACTCTTCATGGGTCCGATGACACAACCTACCTTACGTTACATGATATACGGTACTGACCCTTTCTTTGTACATGTCTTACCTACTCTTCATGCAATGACACAACCTACCTTACGTTACATGATATACGGTACTGACCCTTTCTTTGTACATGTCTTGCCTACTCTTCATGGGTCCGATGACACAACCTACCTTACGTTACATGATATACGGTACTGACCCTTTCTTTGTACATGTCTTACCTACTCTTCATGGGTCCGATGACACAACCTACCTTACGTTACATGATATACGGTACTGACCCTTTCTTTGTACATGTCTTGCCTACTCTTCATGGGTCCGATGACACAACCTACCTTACGTTACATGATATACGGTACTGACCCTTTCTTTGTACATGTCTTGCCTACTCTTCATGACAAAACAACGAACCCACATAATACTCACAGTTGCAGGGTTGAAACTACAAGATGCCTACATACCCTATTTTGAAATAAAATGGAATTAGACCCTTATTTTCAGACCTTAGAGTATTCATAAAGCCTGAGTCATCCATCTTCCCGAGGCAAAGGAGTTAACTGACTATAAAAGTCCAGTTTCCACCCTTGCCGAACTAGGCTGGTATTATGGAGTTACGTTTTGTCTGGACTAACGAGTCTATGCATAGTCCAATCAAAATCCCGAACCGAAATCAAAATCCGGTTCGTAAACTGTCGTGCAGATTTCGATCGATTGCAGGATTTGCAAAGCATGTGCATTGCCAATTTTTTGTCAGCAGATATTTTCCAAATCCTTTCATGTTTTTAATCAAGGTGCTCACCTGATTTGATGCATTTCGCGATGTAAGACCCGTTTTATCACAATATAGATCTTGATTATCGATCAGATCGTCCTGACTGGGCACCACCATTTTGTGTGAAGCAAACGCTAGTGATACGAGAGGTGGAATCTGATTGGTCCATAGGAGAGGCTTAGAAGGGACAGAATTGGTAATAGCCACTGGTGGCGCAACGATCGAGCCGTATAATTCCAGCCTAGTTGGGCAAGGGTGGAAACTGGACTTTTAAAGTCAGTTAACTCCCTTGTCTCAGGAAGATGGAGTCATCCTGATAAATCGATTCTGACAGTCAATATTTGCCAAAGGGCATGTGAATATTTTTTTCAGATTTCCCCATACATCGTTCATCAGTATCATCTCAGCCATGTCCGATCTCGACGTCCCAGGATCTACATCTCTCTACCTTCTTCAGTATCTCTGTCATCTTCCTGGGCCAAGGGAGTTGACTGACTTTTAAAGTCCAGTTTCCACCCTTGCCGAACTAGGCTGGAATTCCTAGGCTCGATTGTAGCGCCACTAATGGTTATTAGCTTTCTAAGCCTCTCCCATATGGACCGAACGGATTTCACCTCTTGAATCACTTTTGCATTCGTTTCAAACAAAATGGTGGCGCCCAGTCAGGACGATATTATCAATAATCAAGATCTATATTGCAATAAAACGGGTCTTACATCGCAAAGTGCATCAAATCATGTGAGCACCTTGATTTAAAACATGAAAAATCTGCAAAATATCTGTTGACAATGAATTGTTGGTGCACATGCTTTGCAAATCCTGCAATCGACCAAAATCTACATGACAGTTTACAAACCGGATTTCGATTTCGTGCATAGACTCGTTAGTCCAGCCAAAATGTAACTCCATAATACCAGTCTAAGTCGGCAAGGGTGGAAACTGGACTTTTAGAACCTATTGCCTCGGGAAGATGCATCTCCCTACCTTCTTCATGAAGCGTTCTTGTTGTGATACTGCTGCACACGAGGACAGGAACCAGCAGTCTCCCAGAATTCCCTGCTGAATGTCGTCCTTGGTCACACCATCAACCATCATCTCGGGCATAGCGCCATCGGACAGCAGATCCTGGAAACCAGGGGGGAGATAAGTCTGTTTATCTGTCGTATCTGTTTGTCTATATCATGGCTACCCTCACATTAACATCAGTGATGAGATCTCACTGCATCATCACTGTCTTGTGACAAGGAGTGCATTTTTGGATGTAAACCACAGACCTTATAATCCCAGGTTGGATGCCTTGTCCACACAACTGATGAGGTTAAGCCCACCTGGAAGTTGCCAAGGTAAGGATGAGGTCTGTGTACTGCCCTGCTGCACGTGGAATTACCTTAGGTCGTATCCACTGCACGTCGGCCCGATCTCCATCACTGTGGTACAGAGAAGAGTTGCATGCTGGGAAGTATGGGTCCTCAAATAGTTCCCCCTCTGACAGCGACTGCAACACTTCCTCGCTTGACTGAAGTTTCTGTGTTTAACAAGAAATTGTTGAAGGAGTCAGTGATTGTTATTTTCGAATTAATATAAGTTCATTTCAATGAATTTGTGTGAGAGATTCAGTTGATAACACTTGATACAATGATCAAATATCTGACTGTTTCAACTTCCTCCGCTCATCATTTCAACATGTTCAACGTCTCTGCTCATCATTTCAACGCCTCTTTCTACTCATCATTTCAATGCCTCTACTCATCATTTCAACGCCTCTACTCATCGTACCTGCCATACCACACTGCGATATAACATTACACCCAGCCTGCCTGCCATACCACACTGCGATATAACATTACACCCAGCCTGCCTGCCATACCACACTGCGATATAACATTACACCCAGCCTGCCTGCCATACCACACTGCGATATAACATTACACCCAGCCTGCCATACCAAACTGCGATATAACATTACACCCAGCCTGCCTGCCTGCCATACCACACTAGGATATTACATTACAGCCAGCCTGCCTGCCATACCACACTAGGATATAACATTACATTACATTATAGCCTGCCTGCCATACCACACTGCGATATAACATTACACCCAGCCTGCCTGCCCTACCACACTAGGATATTACATTACATTACAGCCTGCCTGCCCTACCACACTAGGATATTACATTACAACCAGCCTGCCTGCCCTACCACACTAGGATATTACATTACAACCAGCCTGCCTGCCATACCACACTAGGATATTACATTACATTACAGCCTGCCTGCCATACCACACTAGGATATTACATTACACCCAGCCTGCCTGCCTGCCATACCACACTAGGATATTACGTTACAGCCAGCCTGCCTGCCCTACCACACTGCGATATAACATTACATTACATTACAGCCTGCCTGCCATACCACACTAGGATATTACATTACATTACAGCCTGCCTGCCATACCACACTAGGATATTACATTACACCCAGCCTGCCTGCCTGCCATACCACACTAGGATATTACATTACATTACAGCCTGCCTGCCTGCCATACCACACTAGGATATTACATTACAGCCAGCCTGCCTGCCTGCCATACCACACTAGGATATTACATTACATTACAGCCTGCCTGCCATACCACACTAGGATATTACATTACACCCAGCCTGCCTGCCTGCCATACCACACTAGGATATTACATTACAGCCAGCCTGCCTGCCTGCCATACCACACTAGGATATTACATTACATTACAGCCTGCCTGCCATACCACACTAGGATATTACATTACAGCCAGCCTGCCTGCCATACCACACTAGGATATTACATTACATTACATTACAGCCTGCCTGCCATACCACACTAGGATATTACATTACATTACATTACAGCCTGCCTGCCATACCACACTAGGATATTACATTACATTACATTACAGCCTGCCTGCCATACCACACTAGGATATTACATTACACCCAGCCTGCCTGCCCTACCACACTGTGATATCACATTACAGCCAGCCTGCCTGCCCTACCACACTAGGATATTACATTACATTACAGCCTGCCTGCCATACCACACTAGTATATTACATTACAGCCAGCCTGCCTGCCCTACCACACTAGGATATTACATTACAACCAGCCTGCCTGCCCTACCACACTAGGATATTACATTACATTACAGCCTGCCTGCCCTACCACACTGTGATATCACATTACAGCCAGCCTGCCTGCCCTACCACACTAGGATATTACATTACATTACAGCCTGCCTGCCCTACCACACTAGGATATTACATTACAGCCAGCATGCCTGCCATACCACACTAGGATATTACATTACATTACAGCCAGCCTGCCTGCCTGCCATACCACACTAGGATATTACATTACATTACAGCCTGCCTGCCATACCACACTAGGATATTACATTACAGCCAGCCTGTCTGCCCTACCACACTAGGATATTACATTACAACCAGCCTGTCTGCCCTACCACACTAGGATATTACATTACAACCAGCCTGCCTGCCATACCACACTAGGATATTACATTACAGCCAGCCTGTCTGCCCTACCACACTAGGATATTACATTACATTACAGCCCTCCTGCCTGCCATACCACACTAGGATATTAAATTACACCCAGCCTGTCTGCCCTACCACACTAGGATATTACATTACATTACAGCCCTCCTGCCTGCCATACCACACTAGGATATTACATTACAGCCCTCCTGCCTGCCATACCACACTAGGATATTACATTACATTACAGCCCTCCTGCCTGCCATACCACACTAGGATATTAAATTACACCCAGCCTGTCTGCCCTACCACACTAGGATATTACATTACATTACAGCCCTCCTGCCTGCCATACCACACTAGGATATTACATTACAGCCCTCCTGCCTGCCATACCACACTAGGATATTACATTACATTACAGCCTGCCTGCCCTACCACACTAGGATATTACATTACAACCAGCCTGCCTGCCCTACCACACTAGGATATTACATTACAGCCAGCCTGCCATACCACACTAGGATATTACATTACATTACAGCCTGCCTGCCATACCACACTAGGATATTACATTACAACCAGCCTGCCTGCCCTACCACACTAGGATATTACATTACACCCAGCCTGCCATACCACACTAGGATATTACATTACAGCCAGCCTGCCTGCCCTACCACACTAGGATATTACATTACAGCCAGCCTGCCTGCCTGCCATACCACACTAGGATATTATATTACATTACAGCCTGCCTGCCATACCACACTAGGATATTACATTACAACCAGCCTGCCTGCCATACCACACTAGGATATTACATTACAGCCAGCCTGTCTGCCCTACCACACTAGGATATTACATTACATTACAGCCCTCCTGCCTGCCATACCACACTAGGATATTACATTACACCCAGCCTGTCTGCCCTACCACACTAGGATATTACATTACATTACAGCCCTCCTGCCTGCCATACCACACTAGGATATTACATTACAGCCCTCCTGCCTGCCATACCACACTAGGATATTACATTACATTACAGCCTGCCTGCCCTACCACACTAGGATATTACATTACAGCCAGCCTGCCCTACCACACTAGAATATTACACTACAGCCAGCATGCCTGCCATACCACACTAGGATATTACATTACATTACAGCCTGCCTGCCCTACCACACTAGGATATTACATTACAGCCAGCCTGCCTGCCCTACCACACTAGGATATTACATTACAGCCAGCCTGCCTGCCCTACCACACTAGGATATTACATTACAGCCAGCCTGCCTGCCATACCACACTAGGATATTACATTACATTACAGCCTGCCTTCCTGCCCTACCACACTAGGATATTACATTACAACCAGCCTGCCTGCCCTACCACACTAGGATATTACATTACAGCCAGCCTGCCTGCCATACCACACTAGGATATTACATTACATTACAGCCAGCCTGCCTGCCCTACCACACTAGGATATTACATTACAGCCAGCCTGCCTGCCATACCACACTAGGATATTACATTACATTACAGCCAGCCTGCCTGCCCTACCACACTAGGATATTACATTACAACCAGCCTGCCTGCCCTACCACACTAGGATATTACATTACAGCCAGCCTGCCTGCCATACCACACTAGGATATTACATTACATTACAGCCTGCCTTCCTGCCCTACCACACTAGGATATCACATTACAGCCTGCCTGCCATACCACACTAGGATATTACATTACAGCAAGCCTGCCTGCCATACCACACTAGGATATTACATTTCAGCCTGCCTGCCATACCACACTAGGATATTACATTACAGCCAGCCTGCCTGCCATACCACACTAGGATATTACATTACAGCCAGCCTGCGTGCCATACCACACTAGGCTATTACATTACATTACAGTCAGCCTGCCTGCCATACCACACTAGGACATTACATTACACCCAGCCTGCCTGCCATACCACACTAGGATATTACATTACATTACAGTCAGCCTGCCTGCTTGCCATACCACACTAGGCTATTACATTACATTACAGTCAGCCTGCCATACCACACTAGGCTATTACATTACATTACAGTCAGCCTGCCTGCCATACCACACTAAGATATTACATTACACCCAGCCTGCCTGCCATACCACACTGGCAATATGTATACATACAGTAAAATATGAAGTCACATGTACTAAATAAAATTGTGTATACATTCTTTGAGGTATGAAATAGTGATTAAAGTTATAAGAATTGACTTTGTTTTTGTGTGAGTTCATTGGAGTGTGATTCATCTCAGTGACGGTGAAGTGTATGAACGTCGTCGCAAACTCTGACGTTCATTCAGTTTGACCCCCACTCTATAAAGCTTCATATTCCAATGAACTCACACAAAGTGAAAGTCAATATATTATTCTTAATCAAGTGTCAATATATCGCATTTCTACCACAGTGGCAACTATCACTCAATCACAGCAAATATACAACAGAAATACAAATATTAGCACAATACGCCACAAGAGGACGGAATAAGATCAATCTACGTCCAAGCCGAGCTGTCTGACAGAACACGTCAAAGATCGAGATCAGTGAACAATGCTATTCAGCATCTGAAACATGTATTTCATCATGGGAACACACTATAGGCTATAGTGGTGGGACGATACATCGATGCATTGGTGGATCGCAATATTTTACTAACTGATACAGGTATCAATTACAGTCGTACGCTAAGTAAAAAATATTGATTCATACCTTAAATGTTTTCTTTAATGTCTATAACACGGAACACTAATTAGTAGTGAAAAATAGCAGTGAAAAAGTAAATATTTTCATCCATTGAGCCATACTTGACACTGCCAACTGTAAATCGTCAGTGTGCCAGGTCTTTGACCATCCTGTCTATGAAAAAGATGACTAACGCACCACAGATAAGGGCACATACACGTATCGGATCGTGAGCAAGGTATCTTGATACATATCGGATCACACAATTCGTGTATCGTCCCAGCCCTAATAGAGAGCAAAAACATTACTATATGTCTGTTAGTATTCGTGTCTTCCTGTCTGTTTGCCACAATATTTCCATTGGTATGATGTGACTGTCTCCGTGTAACACCCGACCCTTTCCCGTGTGTTGTCGGTCTGTCTTTGACCATCGACGTTTCTCCTTTCTGTGAATAACTCGTTGGGTTGACATCTTGAAAGTCTGGTTGACTTGACGATCTACTATTTGTGCAGCCCATAGTTTTTGTCCATCGCTGGACGATAATGTTTTGAAAATAATGGCCGCGATTATCTACAAGCACGGAAGTGCTGGGATTATATCTCGCACATGCGGTTGTTTACACTCGACAACGGGTCGTCTCCAAAACACCAAAGCCAGAAGTGACGAGCACTGCTATTGGCTCATTGTACGGGTGCGTTCCATTTTCCACACACTGACAAGAAGGTGTCGCACGGTTATCATGCAGTGTCGCTGATGACACGTACATACGTCTCTTCTCATGGCTGTTTTTCACTTGCCAAAGCAGCAGTAGAAACTAAAAGTTATAGTCCACTAGTCCTTATAATGATAACATATAGCAAAACCCTCTAAAAAGGCAAATGTCTACTAGTCCTTATGATATCTTAACTACTTGACAGTTTGTAAAGGACTACAGGACTAGTGCCAATTTCTGACACTGCAAAGCGTGTTGATAATATTAATTTTACACATACAAGCAAAACGATAAATTAAATTACTTGGCTAAAGTTACTTAGGCCAAAGTTGTATTTCCAAAACATTGAAGAGAGATTTCAAAGGCTTAAGATTCAATGGGACTTTCTCATTTGTGGTAGATTCATTCACGGAAATATTTGAACAGTTCTACGTGATATACATTCAAAGCTTGAGCTATGTGTACGAGGAGACAGTGGCGTGACAGATTTGTTCACGTGTTGCACGGGTACCCGTCAGTGATGTATAGGCAGCCAAACTCCTTTCTCGTTTTATATGCAGACATGAACGCTTCCCAGCGCCGCCATCTTCCTGAGGCAAGAGAGTTAACTTACTTAGTGGGCACCAGTAATGGGCTTCACACATTGTACCCATGTCGGGAATCGAGCCCGGGTCTTCAGCGTGACGAGCGAACGCTTTAACAACTGGGCTACCCGACCGCCCCCAGTAAAGGCGAACCCCCTGGAATTATTACAGAGGACTTAAAATACACACCGTGTCATGCTATACATATTTAGGATTGTACTTTACTCCGAAACAGGTCTTGACAAAAGTTCTTTGAAGTCAATCAGAAAAAGTATGTCTATTAATCTACAAACTACACTACAGTTGCAGAGGCCCACATATTACAACGGCATGACAACGTTTTGACGACATGGTACTTCCATTAATATATGGAGCAGAAATCTGAGGGTGTTAAACATAGACATTTTAGGTAAGGTATAGACGAGAAATATTTCAAGAGAACCATTTACATAGCGAATTCGGCCATTCTAGGGGAATGTGGACGACATAGCTTATATACTCGTACAACGGACAAAAAATAAGGGAACTAATTATTTGAGACCCGTGAAGATCCAGGATAGAACAGATCTTCAGCAACCCATGCTTGCCGTAAAGATCCGAGGTAGAATAGGTCTTCAGCAACCCATGCTTGCCGTAAATGGCGATTATGCTTGTCGTAAGAGGCGACTAACGGGGTTGGGTGGTCAGGCTCGCTGACTTGATTGAAGCATGTCATCGTATCCCAATTACGTGGATCGATGCTCATGATGTCAATCACTATCTGATCCAGACTCGATTATTTACAGACCGCTGTCATATAGATGGAATATTGCAGAGTGCGGCGTTAAACAACAAACAAACAAATGAATGTAGCTATCGTTAATGAGTACATTCACAATACCGTGGCGCTGCATCTAAACACAACATCTAATCACATCTAACTTCACATCATGCATGCACTGCACGTGATTCACGTGCAAACAGAAGCGAAAGTGTGTGCGTCTGTTGGGAAACTCGCAATCACAAATGCAACTGAGCAAAGCAAACGCTAAAAATACCCCCGTGACAGCAGCATCTCATTGAAGAGACAAATGGTAAATTGTGGCTACGATAGAGAAGGGGGCGTCTATATCCCAACTTGCCCGAATGTTTGGCAAATCAAAAAGTGTATTTTCAAGTACTGTCAAGAAGGATGGGTTACCATGAGACCCGGGAGTGGCAGACCCACAAAACGCCATCTGGACAAGATCGTCTCATCACAATAATTGCACTTCGAAATACATTCCAACCTGCTCCTGTTATCAAGAGAGAATTCTCTACAGTAAAAGGAAGGGGAATTTAAACATCTTCCCTTACAAACCGGGTTTATGCAGCTTGAAAGCAAAGCGTCCTGTGAAGGGTGTGACCCTAACCGCTTTACCATAGGTGGCACAGATTGGGGTGTGCTGGGCAACACCAGGGACGGGTTGGGCAACACCAGAGATAGGCAACACCAGGGACGGGTCGGGCAACACCAGAGAAGGGCTGGGCAACACCAGGGACGGGTTGGGCAACACCAGGGACGGGCTGGGCAACACCAGAGAAGGGTTGGGCAACACCAGGGACGGGCTGGGCAACACCAGGGACGGGTTGGGCAACACCAGGGACGGGTTGGGCAACACCAGAGACGGGTTGGGCAACACCAGAGACGGGTTGGGCAACACCAGGGACGGGCTGGGCAACACCAGGGACGGGTTGGGCAACACCAGGGACGGGTTGGGCAACACCAGGGACGGATGGGCAACACAAACGTTGTTGGCGACGTAGCATTAACACGCATTGTTTTTTGTTACGATATGATGTGTATAATTTCCAACAGTGCAAGCAACCATACATATGTAGTTTCTTCAAATGCAGACCTGTGTACAATTTACTGTATATACTTGTTCAGTGGGACAATGACCTGCAACTTCATGAACAAATTTAATGGATACCTTTTTTATTTTTTAATCATCTGTTTCTTTCGAATAGCCCCTTCATATTTATATTCAGTTCAGGCGGGACGACGTTCACACAGCGCTAAGAACGCCTTGTGAGTCGGAACCCAGGACACCGCCAAGAGCCAACGTGTCGGGGCCACTTGAAGCGCTCGTAAAATCTCCATCACCGCCGTCACACTGCTTGTTTGTGGTGATTTGCTTTAAAAGAAAATAGTTTGTTTCAGGAAGTACTGGACAAAGGTAAATACATGGTCTACCTACCTACCTACCTATCCACCCACCCATCCACCTCCCTCCCTACCTACCTACCCACCCACCCACCCACCTACTTGTGGACAAGATAACGGCATCCATTACATCTGTAGAATAATGTCTCCTTGTGAATTGCTGATTTGAGTAAGTGAGTTAATGTTTAACGTCGCATCGGCATTGTGTCACTCATTTAGGGTCGAGAACAGTTATTGAATTTAATTAAATCCACCATTACATTAAAAGAAATAATCTTTAATACTTCATGGGCTTGAAAACTCTACGTTCATACACCATAAGATGCACATGGAATATACATTGTGAACTACATTATAGCAGGGGAGAGAAAATCTTCTGTAGGGACTACGGGCGGGAGGTATGGCTTAGGGGATTGCTGGGGTTTTTTATCCAAAAAAAATGTCCAAGAAAAGTCTTTACAAAAATAATTATGCCTCAGACTGTTGTAGAAAAAGAATTTGTCTGCCACCAAACTTATATGGTTGCAATCCAAAATATCTGGTTTTGCAGCTGTAACTGACAAAATATCTAGTCTCCAGATAAAATCCTAGAATATCTAATGATCAGTCCCTCACTTACTAGCCCTGATGATAACGCAGAACTCCCAAAACACAGAACTGCTGAATCAACAAGTATTACGGTTGACATGTTTCTGACACGGTCTCCCACTGTGGTACACTTGCCGCGACAGGACCTGTTGTCGCGTCTCCAGTTTACTTGGTTCTTGGCCTACAAGTATCCATCAAGGAGTACTTGTGCGGCACCTGTCTGAGACGTAACATATTCCACAAGATGATGTTGAATAGTCACATCTACTGTACATCCCCTGTGAACTCTATATGTTCTACTTGAAAGGATCCATGAAGATCCGGGTTGGAATAGGTCTTCAGCAACCCATGCTTGTCGTAGAAGGCGACTATGCTTGTCGTAAGAGGCGACTAACGGGATCAGGTGGTCAGGATCGCTGACTTCATTTTGACCATCTGGGTGACCATGTCACGTTTTGGTCAGTATAGCAGGAAAGCAATACAGGCTTGTTTCCAACATGTCCAGTGTACTGACTGGGTTCCTGACAAGTATGTCAGTCATATCAGTGTGCCAGTCAAATGTGTGACGAACGTTCCAAGTGATGAAGGTCTTTGCAGTTTATGAAATTGGTAAAATCTAGAAACATAATCAAAGCAAATCATGGGATTCAAGCTCCAACTCCAACCCATCTGATTCTGACATGCACAAGGCACCGACGACGTCATCTGTAACACTAACACGTACAACGGTGTCATCTGTAACCCTGATATGTACAGCGAGGTCATCTGTAACCCTGACATGTACAACGGTGTCATCTGTAACCCTGACATGTACAACGGTGTCATCTGTAACCCTGATATGTACAGCGAGGTCATCTGTAACCCTGACATGTACAACGGTGTCATCTGTAACCCTGACATGTACAACGGTGTCATCTGTAACCCTGACATGTACAACGAGGTCATCTGTAACCCTGACATGTACAACGAGGTCATCTGTAACCCTGACATGTACAACGGTGTCATCTGTAACCCTGACATGTACAACGGTGTCATCTGTAACCCTGACATGTACAACGAGGTCATCTGTAACCCTGACATGTGCAACGAGGTCATCTGTAACCCTGACATGTACAACGGTGTCATCTGTAACCCTGACATGTACAACGGTGTCATCTGTAACCCTGACATGTACAACGAGGTCATCTGTAACCCTGACATGTGCAACGAGGTCATCTGTAACCCTGACATGTACAACGAGGTCATCTGTAACCCTGACATGTACAACGGTGTCATCTGTAACCCTGACATGTACAACGGTGTCATCTGTAACCCTGACATGTACAACGGTGTCATCTGTAACCCTGACATGTACAACGGTGTCATCTGTAACCCTGACATGTACAACGAGGTCATCTGTAACCCTGATATGTGCAACAGGGTCATCTGTAACCCTGACATGTACAACGGTGTCATCTGTAACCCTGACATGTACAACGGTGTCATCTGTAACCCTGACATGTACAACGGTGTCATCTGTAACCCTGACATGTACAACGGTGTCATCTGTAACCCTGACATGTACAACGGTGTCATCTGTAACCCTGGTGTGTACAAGGTACAATGGTGTAATTGTAACACTGACTTGTACAAGGTACAATGATTTAATTGTAACACTGGCTGGTACAAGGTACAATGGTGTAATTGTAACACTGACTTGTACAAGGTACAATGATATAATTGTAACACTGACTTGTACAAGGTACAATGGTGTAATTGTAACACTGACTTGTACAAGGTACAATGGTGTAATTGTAACACTGACTTGTACAAGGTACAATGGTGTAATTGTAACACTGACTTGTACAAGGTACAATGGTGTAATTGTAACACTGACTGGTACAAGGTACAATGGTGTAATTGTAACACTGACTTGTACAAGGTACAATGGTATAATTGTAACACTGACTTGTACAAGGTACAATGATGTTATTGTAACACTGACTGGTACAAGGTACAATGGTGTAATTGTAACAATGACTTGTACAAGGTACAATGGTGTAAGTGTAACACTGACTTGTACAAGGTACAATGGTGTAATTGTAACACTGACTTGTACAAGGTACAATGGTGTAATTGTAACACTGACTTGTACAAGGTACAATGGTGTAAGTGTAACACTGACTTGTACAAGGTACAATGGTGTAATTGTAACACTGACTTGTACAAGGTACAATGGTATAATTGTAACACTGACTTGTACAAGGTACAATGATGTTATTGTAACACTGACTGGTACAAGGTACAATGGTGTAATTGTAACACTGACTTGTACAAGGTACAATGGTGTAATTGTAACACTGACTTGTAAAAGGTACAATGGTGTAATTGTAACACTGACTTGTACAAGGTACAATGGTGTAATTGTAACTCTGACTTGTACAAGGTACAATGGTGTAAGTGTAACACTGACTTGTACAAGGTACAATGGTGTAATTGTAACACTGACTGGTACAAGGAACAATGGTGTAATTGTAACTCTGACTTGTACAAGGTACAATGGTGTAATTGTAACACTGGCTGGTACAAGGTACAATGGTGTAATTGTAACACTGACTGGTACAAGGTACAATGGTGTAATTGTAACACTGACTTGTACAAGGTACAATGGTGTAATTGTAACACTGACTTGTACAAGGTACAATGGTGTAATTGTAACACTGACTTGTACAAGGTACAATGGTGTAATTATAACACTGACTTGTACAAGGTACAATGGTATAATTGTAACACTGACTTGTACAAGGTACAATGATGTTATTGTAACACTGACTGGTACAAGGTACAATGGTGTAATTGTAACACTGACTTGTACAAGGTACAATGGTGTAATTGTAACACTGACTTGTACAAGGTACAATGGTGTAATTGTAACACTGACTTGTTCAAGGTACAATGGTGTAATTGTAACTCTGACTTGTACAAGGTACAATGGTGTAATTGTAACACTGACTGGTACAAGGTACGATGGTGTAATTGTAACACTGACTTGTACAAGGTACAATGGTGTAATTGTAACACTGACTTGTTCAAGGTACAATGGTGTAATTGTAACTCTGACTTGTACAAGGTACAATGGTGAAAGTGTAACACTGACTTGTACAAGGTTCAATGGTGTAATTGTAACACTGACTGGTACAAGGTACAATGGTGTAATTGTAACACTGACTGGTACAAGGTACAATGGTGTAATTGTAACACTGGCTGGTACAAGGTACAATGGTGTAATTGTAACACTGACTGGTACAAGGTACAATGGTGTAATTGTAACACTGACTGGTACAAGGTACAATGGTGTAATTGTAACACTGACTGGTACAAGGAACAATGGTGTAATTGTAACACTGACTTGTACAAGGTACAATGGTGTAATTGTAACACTGACTTGTACAAGGTACAATGGTGTAATTGTAACACTGACTTGTACAAGGTACAATGGTGTAATTGTAACACTGACTTGTACAAGGTACAATGGTGTAATTGTAACACTGACTTGTACAAGGTACAATGGTATAATTGTAACACTGACTTGTACAAGGTACAATGATGTTATTGTAACACTGACTGGTACAAGGTACGATGGTGTAATTGTAACACTGACTTGTACAAGGTACAATGGTGTAATTGTAACACTGACTTGTACAAGGTACAATGGTGTAATTGTAACACTGACTTGTTCAAGGTACAATGGTGTAATTGTAACTCTGACTTGTACAAGGTACAATGGTGTAAGTGTAACACTGACTTGTACAAGGTTCAATGGTGTAATTGTAACACTGACTTGTACAAGGTACAATGGTGTAATTGTAACACTGACTTGTACAAGGTACAATGGTGTAATTGTAACTCTGACTTGTACAAGGTACAATGGTGTAATTGTAACACTGACTGGTACAAGGTACAATGGTGTTATTGTAACACTGACTTGTACAAGGTTCAATGGTGTAATTGTAACACTGACTTGTACAAGGTACAATGGTGCAATTGTAACACTGACTTGTACAAGGTACAATGGTGTAATTGTAACTCTGACTTGTACAAGGTACAATGGTGAAAGTGTAACACTGACTTGTACAAGGTTCAATGGTGTAATTGTAACACTGACTGGTACAAGGTACAATGGTGTAATTGTAACACTGACTTGTACAAGGTACAATGGTGTAATTGTAACTCTGACTTGTACAAGGTACAATGGTGTAATTGTAACACTGGCTGGTACAAGGTACAATGGTGTAATTGTAACACTGACTGGTACAAGGTACAATGGTGTAATTGTAACACTGACTGGTACAAGGTACAATGGTGTAATTGTAACACTGACTGGTACAAGGAACAATGGTGTCATTGTAACACTGACTGGTACAAGGTACAATGGTGTAATTGTAACACTGACTGGTACAAGGTACAATGGTGTAATTGTAACACTGACTGGTACAAGGTACAATGGTGTAATTGTAACACTGACTTGTACAAGGTACACTGGTGTAATTGTAACACCGACTTGTACAAGGTACAATGGTGTAATTGTAACACTGACTGGTACAAGGAACAATGGTGTAATTGTAACACTGACTTGTACAAGGTACAATGGTGTAATTGTAACACTGATTTCTACAAGGTACAATGGTGTAATTGTAACACTGACTGGTACAAGGAACAATGGTGCAAATGTAACACTGACTTGTACAAGGTACAATGGTGTAATTGTAACACTGACTGGTACAAGGTACAATGGTGTAATTGTAACACTGACTTGTACAAGGTACAATGGTGTAATTGTAACACTGACTTGTACAAGGTACAATGGTGTAATTGTAACACTGACTGGTACAAGGTACAATGGTGTAATTGTAACACTGACTTGTACAAGGTACAATGGTGTAATTGTAACACTGACTGGTACAAGGTACAATGGTGTAATTGTAACACTGACTTGTACAAGGTACAATGGTGTAATTGTAACACTGACTTGTACAAGGTACAATGGTGTAATTGTAACACTGACTGGTACAAGGTACAATGGTGTAATTGTAACACTGACTTGTACAAGGTACAATGGTGTAATTGTAACACTGACTTGTACAAGGTACAATGGTGTAATTGTAACACTGACTGGTACAAGGTACAATGGTGTAATTGTAACAATGACTTGTACAAGGTACAATGGTGTAATTGTAACACTGACTTGTACAAGGTACAATGGTGTAATTGTAACACTGACTTGTACAAGGTACAATGGTGTAATTGTAACACTGACTTGTACAAGGTACGATGGTGTAATTGTAACACTGACTGGTACAAGGTACGATGGTGTAATTGTAACACTGACGTGTACAAGGTACAATGGTGTAATTGTAACACTGACTTGTACAAGGTACAATGGTGTAATTGTAACACTTACTTGTACAAGGTACAATGGTGCAATTGTAACACTGACTTGTACAAGGTACAATGGTGTAATTGTAACACTGACTTGTACAAGGTACAATGTTGTAATTGTAACAATGACTTGTACAAGGTACAATGGTGTAATTGTAACACTGACTTGTACAAGGTACAATGGTGTAATTGTAACACTGACTTGTACAAGGTACAATGGTGTAATTGTAACACTGACTTGTACAAGGTACAATGGTGTAATTGTAACACTGACTGGTACAAGGTACAATGGTGTAATTGTAACACTGACTTGTACAAGGTACAATGTTGTAATTGTAACACTGACTGGTACAAGGTACAATGGTGTAATTGTAACACTGACTTGTACAAGGTACAATGGTGTTATTGTAACACTGACTGGTACAAGGTACAATGGTGTAATTGTAACTCTGACTGGTTCAAGGTACAATGGTGTAATTGTAACACTGACTTGTACAAGGTACAATGGTGTAATTGTAACACTGACTTGTACAAGGTACAATGGTGTAATTGTAACACTGACTTGTACAAGGTACAATGGTGTAATTGTAACACTGACTTGTACAAGGTACAATGTTGTAATTGTAACAATGACTTGTACAAGGTACAATGGTGTAATTGTAACACTGACTTGTACAAGGTACAATGGTGTAATTGTAACACTGACTTGTACAAGGTACAATGGTGTAATTGTAACACTGACTTGTACAAGGTACAATGGTGTAATTGTAACACTGACTGGTACAAGGTACAATGGTGTAATTGTAACACTGACTTGTACAAGGTACAATGGTGTAATTGTAACACTGACTGGTACAAGGTACAATGGTGTAATTGTAACACTGACTTGTACAAGGTACAATGGTGTTATTGTAACACTGACTGGTACAAGGTACAATGGTGTAATTGTAACATTGACTGGTTCAAGGTACAATGGTGTAATTGTAACACTGACTTGTACAAGGTACAATGGTGTAATTGTAACACTGACTGGTACAAGGTACAATGGTGTAATTGTAACACTGACTGGTACAAGGAACAATGGTGTAATTGTAACACTGACTTGTACAAGGTACAATGGTGTAATTGTAACACTGACTTGTACAAGGTACAATGGTGTAATTGTAACACTGACTTGTA